CGCCTCCTTGAGTTCAACGATGAACTCGTTGTCTCGAGCGATCGCGGCGTGGAGCGCCGCTGGCATTTGGCGGCCCTCGCCTCGGATCTCGCGCAGGGCGCGCTCGATCCAGCAACTCGCTCACAGGCCGCAGCCCCAAAAGACTTGGCACCGTCTGTTGTTCGGTGCTGGGCAATGCTCGCCAGAGCCAATGGCGCCAAGCTCGCGGAGGGCCCTCGCGGCGGCCTTGGGGGGGCACATTCGAACCCTACCCGCGATTTCTGAGGGCGAGGCAGGCGGGGTGCACTTCGCTCGGCAGCTCCCGAGCAAAGCGAAACCCACCTTACCCCGTCAGAAATCGTTGCGCGTGGTTAGGCATGAACTCGCGCGTGGCCCTTGTGGGCCTGCTTGGCGTTCTCGGGCGGCTGCTTGAGGGCGTCGCGGTAGTCCACCTCGACGCGGCCCCGTCGATCCTCGAGACCTGGCGGGAATTGCCACAAGTGCCCCCTGCCCGGGGGGCCTCCAGGATTCGCACCAAACTGGAGCGAAACGCTGGAGGCACCCTGTGGGGGGGGTGAGGTACGTGTAGTGCGCGGGCGCCTCGTAGTGCACGCAGACGAGCACTTGCCGGGCCTTGCCGACCCTCTCGGCCCAGCGCTTCTGCTCCTCGGGCTGCTGGGCGGCGGGCGCGCCCTCGCCCTGACCCTCTCGAGCCCGGGCGACGGCCGCCGCGGGCTCGACCGCCAGAACGTTGTCGGGGACGCCCACTAGCTCCTCGATCTCGCCCAGCAGCGCGCGCACCGTGCCCAGCTCGAGGGCGTCGCCCTTGACGATCTGCTCGCAGTTCATGATCGCGTACTCCTTGGCGAGCGCGGTGCGGCGAGCGTGTCTGGCCCCCTCCTTTTAGCATCGAGTTCCGTGCCGGCGCGCTCATGACCAGGAATTATTCCAACGCCTCGGCTCCTTCCCATGTTGCGCGGCGACCGCCCCTCCTTTGGCCTCCTGGAGGTGCTCCGCGCCGGCCATCCTGATCTCTTCCTTGGACTCAGCGCGCCCCTCTGCCACCGCCTATCTCTCGCCCTCCCTCTCATGTTTGTTTTTATGTGTGTATATATATACATATCACTCTTTCTTTCTCTATGTATGTCTGTATTGCTTTAGTGTTCTTTCTCTCTCTCTCTCTCTCTCTCCCTCTTGTTCATTATCAGTGTTTGTTCGCTCTCCCTGTCTCTCCCTCTCTCTCTCTCTCTCCTTATTTCATCATTTCTCTCTCTCCCTCTCTCTCTATTTCTCCATGTATGTCTATATGTTTCTCTTTCCCTCTCTCCCACTCTCTCTCTTTCTCTCTCTCTCTCTCTTTCTCTCTCCCCCCCCTCTCTCTCTCATTATCTCTCTCCTTCTCTCTCTTTCTCCATATAGCTATGTGTTCGATCCTGTCTCTCTCTCTCTCTCTCTCTCCTTCACCGTTCCTCTTTTTTGTATATATATATATATATATATATATATCTTTTCTCTCTCTCTCTCTCTCTCCCGTCTATGTATTTATATATCTCTCTCTCTCACTCTGTCTCTGTCTCTCTAACTGTATATTTCTCTGTCTCTCTCTCTCTCTCTCTTTCATTCTCTTTCTTTCATTCTCTCTCTCTCTCTCTCCCATTCTCTTTCTCTTTTTTTTTTTTCTCTCTCTCTCTCTCTTTCTCTCTTGTTTTGTATGTCTCTCTCTCTCTCTTTCTCTCTCTCTCTCTCTCTCTCTCTCTCTCTCTCTTTCTCTCACATTCTTTCTGCTCCCAACTCTGCCCCACTCTGCCCGGCGCCGCTTCGCCGCCCGCGCGTTGGCTGGCAGCGCCAGCCAGTCCTGAGCGGCCGTGCCCCGAGCTTTCTTGAGCCTGGCGAAGGTGCCCGTCGCGTCTGCTGCGTGGTCGGCGCAATCGTCTCCGCCGAAAGGGGCCGCGTGCTTCCGCGGCCTCTCCAGCGCATCGTCGTTCTGCCCCTCTCCGCGGCCTCCAGAGCTGCTCGCGCATCTGCTGGCGTGGGACCTGGGGGGGCCGCCTTTCTCATCCTTCACTTTGCCTCCTCCTCCTCCTCCTCCTCCTCCTCCTCCTCCTCCTCCTCCTCCCCCCCTCCTCGTCATCATCCGCTGGCTTCTCCAACGACCAATTTCTTATCCGCCTTTGCCGCTGGTCGCCCGCAACAGCTGGTTCGCAGTTGGGCGCCCCGCGAACGCCCCGCAGCCGCAACAACCCTTGCTTTGCTGCAAGTCGTCCCACGTCAAATCGTTGCATTCTTCGCAGACCGTGCAAGCTCCTCGCTGCTGCACTTCTCCGCCTCGGCCCATCTTCGGCGCCGCCGGCCCGCGGTGTTCCCTCAGCCGGCCTGCGGCAACCGCCCGCCGCCGACGGAACCTCGGACCGCCGCGGCCCGCCGGGGCAGCCAGCTGCAAGCGCGCCGCCTGGCTACGGCGCCGCTCGAGGTGGCTCGCGGCTCTTTCGCGCGCCAGTCCGAGCCAGCGGCGCCAGGGCCTCGGGCCAAAACTGTCGGCTTGACCAAAATGGCTACCGACAACGAGGAAGACGACGTATGCGACGGCGCCGACGACGGCGACCACGTTAGTGGAGGCGGCGGCGCACCTGTTGCCATCGCCCTCACCAAACACTGCCTCTGATAGAATACCACCAAGGCATGATGCAGCCCTGTCGGTATCCGGCTTGGGCCACCTGTGCTGTCTCTACCCTACCCTACTCTTCTCGGCTTTCCACTACCGTATGTCTCTTCTACTTCACAGGACCCTACTCTACTCGACCCTTCCCTGCTCGACCCTGCCCTACCCTACCCTATTCGATATGGTTCTACGCTGTTCCTACTCTAAGTTCCTCAACTCTACTCTTGACTACTTCACTCTACTCTACTCTATATACTCTACTCTACGCTGCTCTATCATATCCCACTCTACTCTACATCTATTATGTTCCAATATACTCAACTCTTCTATGGCTGCTCGGCTCTACCCGTATATTACTCAAAGTGGCCCTACGCTAAGCGGATATGATCGACACCTCCCTACTCATACTCCACCCTTTTCTATCCAACCCTACCGTACCCCCCCCCCCGACCCTACTCGACTCTAGTCTTCCCTGTTCTACTCGAATCACACTCGAGTGTGCGCCTAGGCAACTCTGTTTCTCAACACTTGTCAACGTCATCTCCGTCGTCGTCTTGGACGTTTTCGTTGTCGTTGTCGTCGTCATCGTCGGCATCGTCGTCGTCGTGGGCGTCGGCTTTGGCGTCGGCGTCGTTGGCGCGGTGGTCGTCGTGGTCGTTGTGCGTCGCCCGTCCTCGTCATTGTCGTCGTTTAGCGTTGTTTGCCGGCGGCAGCAACGTCGTCGACTTCGTCGTCGTTGCTGGGGGGGGGGTCCCTGGACCCACAGGATCATTTTCCTGGCTTGGGGGGGGTGTTCCCGGATCCCTCCCTCCAATTGATTGCGTTTGCAGAAAGGGGGGGCACTGCCAGCGGCGGCAGAAAGCGTTCTTTTCAGAGCGTCCGGATACGCCCGAAGATGCCCGCAGGACGGTCGAATCGGCCCCCAAGACGCACCAAGAGGGCCCCAAGAAGCCGACCAAGGGGGCGCCCAGAGGCAGTCAACAATGGATAGCCCGTCGTTGTTTGCAGGATGTTAACACTCTCGCCTGTTCGTGTTTCTGACTCTCCTAGGCGACCCACGAGGATCCCAAATATCGCGCCAATACAACCGAAGAGGCCATCAAGCGCCCAAGAACGACCCACGACTGCCAAGAGAAGGCCCCAGGACGGCCTCCGAAGGCCAAGAGATCCCCCAGAGGCCTGCAGAGCAGAGACCATAGAGGCCCGCAAGCAGCCACCAAGAGCACTAAGAGACCCCATGAGAGTCCCCCGGACGCCCCCAAGGAGCTCCCAGGAAGCCCCCTGGAGGCCCCAAGAGGCCTCCTCTCAATCCTCCTCCTCTTCGTCCTCCTTCTCCAGGTCCTCCGCCTTTATACTCCTCTCCCAAAGGTTTCCCCAAGGGGGTCCACAACGGCTGGGGGTACGAATAGGCCAATAGATTGGCCGGACGTTGGCCCAACGTTTGGCCGCATGGGCATCTCCGAAAGGCAGGCAGCGGTAACTCGCAGTATGCGTCTTCGATCTGCCGCCCTCCGGTTGATCTTCAAAAGGGGTGCCTTGCGTGCCAAAACTATTCAGCCTTCTCAACTTGTAAAAATGTTTCCCAGTGGGGTGTCGGCCGATCGCGGAGGCCACCCCGAAAGGCGCCTACAAGGTGGGAAGCAAGGCCCCTGACGCCTCCAAGACGCCCAAAATGGCCTCAAAGAGGTCTCCACGACGGTCAGGATGGCCCAAGATGGCCTTCAAGACGCATTCAAGACGGCCAAGATGGCCCCAGCTTGGCCCAAGATGCCTCCAGACGGCCCAAGTCACCTCCCAAGACGCCTCTAGAGGGCTCCAAGAGGACCTTTGGGATTCCAAAATCATTAACTCTAGGGGCTGCAAGACAGCTAGGATAGACCAGGATGACCTCCAAGTGGACCTCCAGGGGTTCCAGAATGGCCAAGATGGCCCAGGATGGCCTGTTCAGAATGGCGCTCTCGCCCGAGCGCGGGCCACTTCTTCTGGATGCGAGTGCTTCCTCTCGCCCCGCTCCTTCCCATGGTCATCCTGCTCCTCCCGATTCTTCCATTCCTGTTCCTGCTGTTGCTGTTCCTCCTCGTCCTCCTCTTTCCTCGTCCTCCTCTTTCTCGTGCGCATCTTCCTGCTTATCCGCCACCTCCTCCTCGAATGTACGCAGCTCCCCTCTTGCGATTGTACACAGAATAGTGGGGCCTTCTTTGGGGGGTCCGAGTCCGCTGATGTAGAACAACCAGCGCTATAGGAATGGGCGGGTGGAAAAGGTAGGACGTCCACTGTGGCGCAAACGCAACTCATTTCGTACCGTGCCTCTCACTCCTCCGCCCTCACCTTCTCTGCCTTCGCGCGTGGCCGCTGCCGCGGCCTTCATCCACAATGCGTTGAAGTGGTTCGGCCCCGCGAAGTGGTCCTCGAACCTGCTGGCCGAAGGAGGGCGGAGGTGGGGCTGGCGGTGCGGGAGCACGGGGGAGAGGAGGGGGGGAGGGAGGAGGAGAGGAGGGAGGGGGGGAGGGAGGAGGGAGGGGAAGAGGAGGAGGGGGAGAGGAGGAAGGGGGGGAGGGGTACGGTCGACCAGGGGGGGATACTGGTTTCCAACCTCATACCCATCCTCAATCCTCCTCCTCCTCCTCCTCCCCCTCCTCCTCCCCCCCCTCCTCCTCCTCCTCCTCCTCCTCCTCCACCTCTTCCTCCTCCACCTCTTCCTCCTCCTGCTTCTCCTTCCACTCCTCCTCCTGCTCCTGCTCCTCCTCCTGCTCCTCATCCTCCCTCGTCGAACTCCTCCTCCTCCTCGTACTCCTCCTCTTCCTCATTCTCCTCCTCCTCATCTCCTCCTCTTCCTCCTCATTTCCTCCTCCTCCTTCTCCTCCTCCTTCTCCTCCTTCCTCCTCCTCCTCCTCCGCCTCCTCTCTTCCTCCTGCGGCTGCTCCTCCTCGATCTCTGGGCCCTTGGGAGGGGCGCCGCAACGGCGCTCCTCCCAAATCGGCCTCGGCCCGCGACGTCCAAATGATCTTAGATCTGTGGGAAGAAGGCAACTGCACCGGCAAAAAAAGGAACACGTGCGTGGCGCTACGTTGCTCCCATCGTACTTAAGGACCACATCGCAGAAATAATTTCGAGCACCCAGAAGAGTGTCGAAACAGTGTCGAACGAAAACCGCCTCCCGGGGTTGGACACGTGAAAACCCTCCAGCTTCGGTCCATTCTTGGTGCTCGAAATTCTCTCTGGTGATCAATACTCAAGTGGGTTGGAACATCATAGGCGTGGTAATTGCACTCCCCTCCCCCCTCTCCTCCTCCTCCTCCTCCTCCTCCTCCTCCTCCTCCTCCTCCTCCTCCTCCTCCACTGCAGCAGAATAGGCGAATTCTGTCGTAACCGGACCGCCCTGGGAAGCGCGGCCGAACTGTCGCAACCCTGATTTTGCGGAGGCCACCCTCCGCTTCCTCCTCCTTCCCCGTTGACCAGAATAGGCAGACCCTGTCGTAACGGCGCGTTCCTGGGAAATGCGGCCGAAGTGTCGCAGCCCCGATTTGGGACCAGAACAAAGAAATTCCGTCGCGACGGGGCGCGGATGCAGTTTTTCAATCTGGTTGGAAGTTTGTGGGGGGCCCGCCTGATTGCTAGTTGCCTCATTGTCGGGCAGGCGCGCTGTATCACACAGTGGCACTGACGCGTCGCGTGTCGTGACCAATGCGGCATCACCGTCTGCTGTTCGAGGCGATACGAATATGAGAATACTATGATGCTTCCGTGCACCGAGGCCCCACCACATTTTAATTGCGCATTCTGTGATTCAGGGACTCTTATGAACAGATGTTGTTGTTGGTGGTGGTGGTGCTGCGGTTGTTCTTGTTGTTGCGTTTTAACGTTCAACTGGCTTATTGTTCTATATCAAAGCTGAATTTATCACGGGTCTGGAGTTTCTGGGGTTCCTGGCCGACTGAGCTGCAGATTTCTCGCCGCTGGATTTCAAACATAAAAGACGAAACTGAACAGTTTCAAGTAGTGTAAAGTTTTCAAACAGTGAAGCTCTCAGGGGTCTTGTGTTTTCGGGGTTCCTGGCCGCCTGAGCTGCAGATTCCTTTGCCCTGGGAAATTGCCATATACTTTTTTGATTCAGGAATGTTGCAAACTCGCCAGCCCAACGGGCCAGAGGCGTGCTAAGATCTCCAGTAACTGGTTAACAATATTTCTAGCTCGCCCGCGCGGAGCGGCCCCTGGGGGCCCCCGACGAAAAGTACCACGGCAAGGTCCCGGGAGAGAGCACTCCAGGGGAGGGCCATTTTCCGACACCACTCACGAGGATCGTGGCCTCCGAGGGGGGAGCCGCAATCGAATACCCCCCCTCCCGCCCCAAGAGGGTCCCAAGAGCCCCCCAAGAGGCCCTGGGGGCCCCCAAGACGCCGCCCAGAAGCCCCAAGAGACTCCCAAGAGGTCCCCAAGAGGCCCCCAAGAGGCCCTAAAGAGAGCTCCAGGGCCAGCGGAATGAGCGAAGCGGTTAAATAATTAGTTGTTATAGATGTTTGCCTTTATTTACAAAACTTGTTCATTGCAGTTCTCAAGGGTCCTGAGTTTTCGGGGTTCCTGGCCGCCAAAGCTGCAGACTTCTTGCCATGAGAACGTTTCACAATTGAGGAAACATTTCAAATTTACGAAATGTAGAAGTGTTCGAAGTGTCAAAGATAGTTTGAAAGAAGAAAACAAAGTTTGAATTATCATGGGTCCAGAGTTTTCGGGTTCCTGGCCGCCTCAGCTGTCGAGTTCTTGGCCCTAGGAAAATGTCAGTGTAAACTGTTGCATTTTTTGTTGAAAAAACTCAAGCAATAGTCTGTAGTTTCTGGGGTTCCTGGCCGCTTGAGCTGCAAATGTCCTGGCCCCGAGAAAAAATCAAAATTGGCAAATATGATCAAATTTGATTATAAATGTATATACACAAATATGTGTATATACATATATATGTACGTGTATATATATATATATATATATATATATATATATATACATATATATATATATATATATATATCAAAGCGAACATGCTCATCTCATAAAACATGGAAATCCACAAGGATCCGGGTTTTCGGGGTTCTTGGTCGACTGGGCTGCATATTCCTGGTTCTTGGCTGCCCAGGCTGCAAACTTTTGGGCCTCTCGGGGTTCCTGATTGCATAGATTGCAAGAGGATGAGGAATCCGCCAAACCCAGAGACGTGTGCGATCACCCCTCCGACCTTGTCCTTAGCCCGGGAAGCAGGACAGCCCAAGAACGCTCCAAGACGCCCAAGATGGTCCAAGACCCCGCAGTGATGTAATCTACTCTTATGTATGAAGAAAGAAATCAAGTGTATACGTCTGTATGTGTAAACATACAACTATGTTACCATGTGCGTGACGCTTTGTATGCATAGATGTATATAAACATATTTCAATACCTATAGATTCACAATCCACATCCATACATAATGTACGTGTATACGTACGTTCATACAAACACATATATACATACATATGATCGTGTACCATCCCATTCCAACACACCTATATGTATACATGCAAACTTGTATGAACCTTGTTCTTACGAATGTGCCCGTATATGATCCCGGGCACATGGGCCTCCAAGATGGGATGGGTCTCAGGGCCCCTCGTGCCCCCCCCTATGGGATGGGGGGGGACGACCACGACGACGGCGACGACGACGACGATGGCGACGACGACGGCGGCGACGACGACCACGACGGCGACGACGACGACGACGACGACGACGACGGCGGCGGCGACGACACCGGCGACGACAACGACGCCGACGCCGACAGCGGCGACGACGACTCTGACGGCGACGACGACGACGATGACGACGACGACGGCGGCGGGGGCGGCGCCGCCGACGCCGAACTCGGGAGCCCTCCGACGACGGCGGTGGCGGCGACGACAGCGACCTCTGGAGCTCTCCTGGGGCACCACGGTACCACGCCACACACGCCACACCCACAGTACCATACCACAGCCTCAGGGAGGGGGGGCATCGCACGGGTGGGGGATGGCATCAGCATGAGGGGGGAGGACCAGATCCTGGACCATATAGATCACCAATAAATGCACAAGTGCGCATACGCATGTGTTACGTAGTTTCTTCACGTCTCGTCTGGCACGATTACGGTTGTCAGTTTATGATTGCAAATCTCACACATCCAATGAGGGTAGCTCCATCGAGCTGGTCCCCAGATTGGCCCTGGCCTCCATGGAGACCTCCAAGATGGCTCGAGTGGACACCATCATGCTGCCAAGACGGCACAATAAATCCCCATGAGGCCCCGTTGTACGTTCCCACATGCTCCCCCCCCCCAGTGAAGCCCCTGGAGGTCCCAGGAGGCCCTGCCAACGGACATACCTGCACCCCCTCTGGGTCGACCCCGACGGGGGGGACGGCGGAGGAAGGGAGAATGAGGAGGGGGGAGGGGGGAAGAGAATCCTTGCTTTGGACGTTCAGTTCAATTTGGGCCTCCGTCTCCTCCATCCCCTCCTCCTCCTCTTCTTCCTTTTCCTCCTCCTCCTCCTCGTCCTTTTCCTCCGTCCGCTGTCCTGCGACCCCAGCTACATCGTGCGATAGCTCGACGCCAGATGATCCCCTCCCCTCCCCCCGCCGCCCGCCGAGGGGAACCCGCGGCAGTGGTCGCAGAGGCGACACTCTGGCCACCTCGGAGGAGCTTCGGATACCAAGGGGGGCGTCGTCGTCGCCTCTGCCACCTCCACCGTCGCCGCGACCGCCGCCATCGTCGTTGCCGCTGCCGCCGTCATCGAGAAACGTTTGCGGCGAATCGGGAGGGGGGGGGGAAGGCGGCGGAGGCGGACGGTGCCTTGGACACGATGGTCGTTGTCAGAATACGCTTGCTCACAGAGATCTCGCGACAAAACATATCCGGTGACGTACCCAACCTTTTCTAAACAGATAATACGAATAGCTGGAGTGCAGTATCCCCAAACAGGGTTTTTAAACCCACTGCGGTTTTCAAGGTCGATTGCGCGCCCGTCGAGCGCGTCCAGAGGCGCAGCAGCGGGAGGCGGGGGGCAGGAGGAGGGAGGAGGGAAGATGAGCCATGCGGGAAGCGGAAAGAGTCTTTCCTCTGAGAATCTGGGTAAGTTGACAAAAAAATTAAGGTCTCGTGTTCACTCTGCGCAGTGGTAGAGGGTACGGGACGAGACATCGATAAGACAAGTATCCGGTAAGCGAATATACTCTATCAGGAATAGTAAGGGAGGAGGCCGGCTGGCCGACGACCGACGAAGTGCGACGGCCGAGGGCGGGCGCGCTCCTTTTATCTCCTGTACGCTCACGCGTAGCTTGAGTACAATACAGCTGCAGATAGTCACACAGTGCGCAGCAAAGCAAGTGATGTGAAAAGCAGCATGAATATGAGGCGGAG